CTCTCTTTTCTTACTCTTACTTCCTCTCTCTCTCTCTCTTTCTCTCTGTCCCTTTCCTTGCTCACGTGTTGTATCCTCAGGACCATGGGGACAGCTGGCAGGCGCGTGCGCGCGCCCCTTTCTTCTCGTTTGCTTCTCCTCTGTGCAGAAGCTTGAGGCCCCTCAAGCGCCCTCGAGGGAAGAGGGAAGAGAACCCCAGAACAACTGGTGTCACTAGAGTCACTAGAGCCACTAGAGCCACTAGAGTCACTAGAGTCACCAGAGCAGAGAGACAGGGGCAAAGACAATTGGCCGAGAGAAGCAGGAAGCTTTCTCCCGATGGAGAAACAAAATTTCGGGAGAAAGAGAGAGCAAGCCATCAACAAAGAGACCCCGTTCGACACTTCTTCTGTGCCGGTTTTCGCGCACCAAATAAAGGAGAGAGAGAGCTCAAAGGCTGCACTGGGAGGAGTTGGGGAGGGAGTCTTCCGGTGGTCCCAGAGAGAGAGAAACAATCTGAGAGAGGGGGCTCTTTGTTTTGCCATCCTCTCTGCTGGTGAAAAGGCGTCTCAAAAGGGAGGGCTGCTTCTTGCACAGCTTGAGCAGCCCGTGCTTGGGAGCTGGCCATGAGAATAGGAAAGTTGTGCTTTGAGTTTCGGTGGAGAACTGTGCTGAGCTCGAGAAAAATGTGATTCGTTGACAACTGATAGAAACTGCGTGGCGAGATGATATCCGATGCTTGTTGTCGTGGCAGATGGTGGACAAGATCTTGAAAGGCGAGCGAGCAGACAGCCCGGAGGCGGGGCCAGGGCTGCTTTTCTGGAGAGAGAGATACAGAGCGAGAGAGAGAGAGAGAGAGAGAGAGAGAGTCAGTGAGAGAGTGAGAGAGACAGTGAGAAAGAGAGACAGTGAGAGAGAGCGAGAGAGGGAAAGAGAGGGAAAGAGGGAAAAAGAGAGGGAGAGGCAGACAGCAAATAGCCCATATGTAGCATGCAGTTGTTTCCCTCACTCTCTCCCTCTCTCTCCCTCTGTCTCCCTCTCTCTCCCTCTCTCTCCCTCTCACTCCCACTCTCTCCCTCTCACTCCCTCTCCCTCCCTGTCCCTCCTCTCTCTCTCTCTCTCTCTCTCTTGCTCTCTCCCTCCTCTGGAACAAGGCCATCATGCGCGCCCGGTTCACAGCCCTCCGCTTCAAGGAGAACAGCTCAGCGGCGAGTTGCTGTGAGTTGGAAGTCTGAAGAGCAAAGAGAAAACACAAGTGTGTGTGTGTGTGGTGCTGTGGTGCTTCACGAGGAGAAGAGGAACAGCAAGAAATGAGCGTCGCAGTCTTTTCTGCAAAGGACCCGCAGTTCTTGGCCGCGACAGAGAAGGCCCGGCGAAGACGGGAAGATGACGCCACGATGTGACACGATGTGGCAAGTCTTCAAGACGCAGAATGAACTCAACGCAGCAAAAGGAGGAGGGCACCTCCATCAAGAAGCGTGCTGCTGGCCCGAATCCAAATGAAGAGAAGAGCGCTGACACTCGTGATTTCCTGATACTTTGGGTTTGGTTTGCCGTGTTGCGCCTTTTCCTGGTGCTGTTTCTTCCTGAGGTCTTTAGAGTGAGAGACCCAGGGACACGTTGTAAGTAGCAAGACAACACAACGATACACAATGGGAATGGACTCTCTCGCGCCGCCCTCAGAGGGATACCTTGGTGCGCATCGTCGTCGTCGTAGTAGCAGCGGCAGCAATACGCCGCCCCCCCTGTGTCCTTTTTCTAGTTTCTCCTCTCTTCTCTCCTTCATACTTAGTGTTAGTTGGCTCTCTCTCTGTCTCTCTCTCTCTTTCGCTCTCTGTGGTTTGTTGGTGGTTGGTGATTGGCTCTGGCTCTGTGGCTGCATCCTCTGCTCTGAGGCTGGGCGAAGACGCTGGGGATGGAAGAGAAGCCGGGGGAGCTCAGAGCGCCGTTCTCCGCGGGAAAAACTCTTCTTTTCTCGAGTTTTTCTGAGCACAGGGAGAGGCTGAGCACTCGGCAAGGATGCACAGAGAGAGCACTCCTTCGTTATTTGCTCTCTCTCTTTTTGCCTCTCCTTGCTCTCTCCTTGCTCGCTCTCTTTGCTCTCTCTCTCTTTGCTCTCTCTTTACTCTCTCCGTGCTCGGATTCTGCTCTGACTCTGCTGAGGGGCTGGGTTGACAGCCTGACGACGCTCTTCGGCTCTGATGCCCGCCACTCAACAACAAGCGCAGACACTCGGTGAGTGTGCCTAGCCAAGTGTTTTCTTTAAGTCTTTCTCCTTTCTTCTTTTGGGGAGGGGGGGGGGGCAGCGGGGCCGGGGTTGGGGGGTGCAGGCAAGGTGGGAAGGTGCAGGGAAGGGGGGGAGTGCGGAGGTGCGCTGGGGTGGGTGGCTATGTCCTTATGAATTCGTGTGAGATCTCGCGATATCCGAGGCCGAGGCGTTGCAGGACCCAGTGAACTTCGAGGCGCTCACACGCGAGTGTGCATCAGTCAGAGAACAGACCGAGCGTCTTTGTGAGCGCGCCCTTTTTTGGTGTGTCTCTCTCTCTCTCGCGCGCTCTCTGTAGTGAATTTCCGCGGAGGCAGCGAATTTGCGAAGGGGCGGAAGCGCGGAAGCGCGAAGGCGGAAAGATCAAGAAACATCGCGAAGAAAATGAACCGAAAAGGCTGCAAAGCACCACAAGCAACTACACCCCTGCGCAGTCTGGAGTGGACGTCCTCGGCAGTGCTGAAGCGTCACAAAGAGCGTGGCAACACTTCGTCGTGGTTTTTAAGGTAGCCAATCGCACTTCGGCCCTGTGCGGCTTTGAAGGGGGATCCCAAAGCGTGGCTAAATCGGCTATGCAAAGTTAATAGACAGCTCGACTTTGTCCAGTTGTAAATGCAGCATGTTCAGCTCCTAAACAGACATAGTTGTACTTTGGCTGCATGTGGAGTCATAAGATGTGCGTCTCCGTTGACACGAGGCAACGCTTTGCTTATCACTTGCGTGTCGCAGCTTGAGAGCGAGATGGCGACACAACATGACACAACAGTAATTGCCTTTACGAGCTGCTGAGCAGGGCCTCCGCTTTTGTGGAGCGCAGGTGCGCGACAGGGCTGCAGCCAAGGTTTTGTAGGAGATCGGTTGCAGCCGAGCTGGGCTTTCCATGGCGAGCTCTCTCAAGAGGCGTTACTCCGTGTCAGAGTTCGATTCTCCGCTGGGGCCGAGCTGGGCCGAGCTGGGCCGTGCTGGGCCGCGCTGCACACTTACTGGCTGCTGCAATTGCTCGGCTCCTGATGACTGTCCTTCCTCGGCCACTTTTGGGTCTTTCAAGCCCTCTCCGTGTACCTTTGCCTCCCTTTGCGCCTCCCTTTGCGCCTCCCTTTGCGCCTCCCTTTGCGCCTCCCTTTGCCTCTGCCCTTCCTTCTGGCCTCCCCGGCGTCGGGAGTCTGCTTCCTGACAGCCACTTTTCTTCCGATCACGTGTTTTGGACATTTTCTTAGGGCCAAGTACCTCAGCCCGCTTGCTGGTCGAAAGAATCTCATTGGTACGCGTCACAGGCATGGGAAGAGTGGAAGCCACAACACGTCATGGCAGTCCAGCCCTGCCCAGCATCTGGGCGACTTGAGACCTGGGAGACTCTAAGATTGGGGAGCCTCCCTTCTTCAGGCTCCCAACCATTTTCCACATGCAAAAACCCCTCAAATCATTCCGAAGAAGCCCCGCAAGAATCCTTGGTGTGACCATAGTTCTCATCGGATCCGGCCATGGGGGTAAGTTTGGGTGAGTAGTGTCTTCACTCGCTGGTAGGTTGTGAAGCCTGAGCATCCAAATTTAGACTCCCAGCCTTCAGAAGCTCTTCACAAGAAACCACAGAGCCAAAACACTTCACCATCCCAACTGACATCGTTTTCACCCGTTCAGATTGTGGAAACTTCGACATCGGAACCAATTTTCGCGGCTTGGTGAGTGCCCAATAGAGCCGGCCAGACAAGCTGTCGAATCGTTAGCTAGTCGTCGCCCGACGGAAATTTTAGCGAATCGTGAATATGAGAATAGACGAAACACGGTCAAAAAAAGAGTCAAAAGATGCTTCACTATTTCGACAAAAAGTTGTCGAAATGGACAATGAATTCTTCGTTTTGACAACTTAGTAACACGCAATAGGCAGCAGCGCGGAGAAGTTTAGTGGAAACTTCCTGTAAACTGCTTCGGGCTGCCGGGGCTGAACTGTGGCAGTCCTGAAGACCAAAAGCAGTTTGGTGGCAGTTTTGCGAGAGACCATAGCTGAGTTCTTGGGCCGGGAACTGCTGAGTTAGGAGGATCAACTGTGGCTGGGCTGCTCTTGAGATAACTTGAGATAGGCCACGCAGATCCTCCACAAGATCTCGGGCAGTGCGAGCCATTCAATGTTGCTTTTCTCCAGTCTATGCAGTCTATGCTTCAGTCCACTGAGAAAGGACTCTTCGCAAACTCAAAAGTCCAAAGCGAGCCCTGCAAAGATCAACTGTATTTTAACACACCGTTAAAAATCACAACCAAAGTCTTTAGAGTACAAAGAGGAAAGTATGATCGTGGAAACAAAGACCTGGGTTGTCCGCTAGTTCTTGCTCTTCCTTGCGTTTCCAAAAAGCCGGAAACCCAGTCTGGTTTATCAATCTGAATAATGATGGAATTCGGGGCAAGGAATGAAATGGAATGAGTTGGAATGATTTGGAAATTAACGGAATGCTCTGCAAGTAAATAGAATGTATTTGAAGCCCCACGTAAGGAAGAAAAGGCACGCCAAAGGTCTCAGCAATCTTGGGGACTCTCGTTGCATGCGCCGCGTGGTACGGGACCTTTCCCATGCCAACCATGAACAGATGGTGTGCTGCTGCAGTTTCTGCAGTTTCTGCAGTTTCTGATCGCAAAGTTGCAGCATGATGCCAGCATGATGCCGGTCATAAAGAGAGTGAGCGCAACTCACCATTTTCTCGGTATCAGCTCCATGGCCTCCAATGGCATCCCACACGTGCTGTCCAGGGGTACGCGCTGAGGAATGTTCTTTGTTCCGTCCTCCTTGCCTTTGGAGAACGTTTTGCTGTGTTGTATTCGGTTGCAATCTGCTTCCGGGGCAATCCTCTTCAGAAGGGAAAAGAAGGAGAAGGACTTTGAGGCAGCTTGTCTTTTTGTTTGTGTTCTGTGTTTTTTGGTTCTCTGTTTTGAGACTTTCAGGGGATGGGGGGGGGGGGGGAAGTTTCGCGGTGCGAGGTGGTCGCCGCGGACCCGGCCTGGCGCTCAGCCGCTACGCCTGGCCCCAAAGAGCCTCAAGTTCTTTTTCCTCCTCTCCTTAAAGGGTCCTTCTTTTTGGGTCCTTCTCCTTAGCCTTCTTCTCTCTTTCTTCTCTGCTCCTTCTCTCCTTCTTCTCTCTTTCTCTCTTTCTCTCTTTCTCTCTTTCTCTCTTTCTCTCTTTCTCTCTTTCTCCCCCCTTTTTGTTTCCCCTTGCTTTGCCCTTGCTCTCCCCTTGCTCTCACCCATTCTGTGTGCAAGAGGAGACCGTGGAGTTCAAGATCCGGTGCCGCAACGGCAAGACGCTGCACGAGAGGAGCCGCTTCCAAAAGGACCTGCAGAGAGCAGAGAGCAGAAAAGGCAGTAAAGGCAGACTACGATATTGAGAAAAAAACAACAAAAGGCAACTCAATTGAGAAAGACGTGTCTCGGCGGAGGGCTCAAAGCTGTCGCCACCCTCATTTCGGTTCCCGCGCCAGGATAGGAAGTGGGGCTACGTCTACAGCGGCGAGTCTGCTGGAGCCCCACTGTGCATGCGGTCCTGATATCTCAGTGCTGCCTCCTTGCGCACCCTGTCCCTGTCTCTGGTCCCCAACGAAGCACAAGGTTGAGCTGTGCGGTGTACCATGCAGCGGGGGTGTGCATACTTGTTTGTGTGGTGGGAAATCCGATAAGAATTTCAAGAGAGAGAAGGCAAAGGACATATTCGTGGACACACGGCTCGTATGATCTCTTTGTTGGAGCCGTTCATTGTTCGTTTCACTCCGCAAAAAAGGGATAATCATGTGCACGCCCTGAGAATTCTATCTTTTGGGGCGCAATGATCGTGTAATTAGTGACCGCGAATAGAAGGCCTGCGTGAAGAATGTCATTACAAGGGGCTTTTGAACTTTTGACATGTGATTCGTGGCTGAATGGCCCGTCTGACCCCAGACTCGGAGCTGAAGACGATTCATGCGTCTGGCTCCAGTTCTAACGGCAAGACGCCTGCAACGAGTGTTATCCAGGTCAGGCGTTAACAGGGTCTCAACGTGTGATGATGAAGGTAACGCCCCGCGAAACGACCGCGCCGTAGCAGGCTGGTTTTTTGGGTTGTTTTGTTAGTTTTGTCGAGGTAAAAGCACGATTTCTGCATGACATTGTTTCGATAGCAGGGGCCAATGTCGCGCACCGTCCGAACGTTTGGAGCGAATGTTTTGTCGAGTTTGCGGTTGTGGGAAGCCTTTCTTTAGTGGTTTTTCCCAGGCGAAAAGCACGTTTTGGTGTTACATGTCACGGTCGCGCGTAAACAGGTTTTCACGGGTTTGCGGATAAAATGGGTTTTGTATTTTTTAAGTTAAGGGACAGGGCAGAATGGTATTTTTTCCTCGGAAAAACGCGCAGTTGGATTTGACAAGGTCTGTTCTGGGGAATCCTTTTGAGACAGGAGAAAAATGGTATTCGTATGTGGTTCCTTGAAAGCGTCATAGTGTTGTCGATTGAAAAATGTATTTTTTCTCCAGCGGTGCTAGCGTTTCGGTGTTTTGTAGAAAGCTCAGAGTGCAGGGCACTTCTGGTCTTGCACTGCTTCGGGCTTTGGTTTGAGGATTGAGGGTGCATGACACTGCTTGGTGCTTTGGGTTGAGGATTGAGGGTGCATGACACGTTTGGGCTTGCACTGCTTCGGGTTTAGGGTTGAGGGCCTGGGGTGTAGGGTTTAGGGTTTAGGGTCAAGGGTTTAGGGTTTAGGGTTTGAGGGTTTAGGGTTTCGGGTTTAGGGTACGGGGGGCAACCGAAGGAGGACAGAGAACAAAACAGTCAACCCCAACAGAAGCCCTTAATACCCCTGGAACAACCAACAACCGAACAGCAAGACCCCAAACCAAGGGCACACTTTTTACGGAATCTTCGACCGCTTTGGTCATGGCTTGAGCCAAAGAATACCGGGTTCATTGACCCTTCAACTTCCAATACCAACTCCTTTCTACAATACCAATTGCAGCTCCGCACTCCCCCTGTCCTAGGATTTCCTAGGACACATTGGAGGTGCAAATCTTTGGCCAAAAACCGCCATTTAGGCAGCAGCCAGCTGCTTGAAATGCACATTGTGGTTTAACCTCTTCCAGGACGAACCTTCAGCTCATTGGCTGAATCCTTTACCATTGAGGATTTCTTCACCTTGCACTTGGAAAATTCACGTTCCAGCGGCTCGTTCCTCACCAAGGAACTCAGCATTCACCACCCAGCCATCCTTGAGGCAATGCTTACAAAGCGTCTTAGCTCTGAGCTGTGAATATCGCAGAACATCACAGTCACTGCTTGCGTGCATACAGTTCCCACCCACTGTTGTATACAAAGTGGCACTCGCAGGAATAACCACCGCTTTCTTGATCCACAGCCATTTATACAGCCGTCGAAAGAGGCACCATGCCAGTTCCCAGAGTATAATCGCTGCCACCAAATATGCAACAAGGTCTGAATTGTTGACAACCATTTCAATACCTTGAGCCAGAACCATCACCGCAGACGTGTTGGCAACCTTGCACACCCCTTCTTCTGAGCAAAAGAATCCAGCAGTTGACACTTCTTCGCCACCAGTTGCCATCCCTTGCAGAGATGCAGCCACCATCATGACCGCCATTGCAAGCGAGGCTTTTTTCAAGTCAGTCCCTTGTACCAACAGTCGGAGACCCCAAAGTGCCTTTTGCTTTGCGTACACCTGTCCACTCATCAACTTAGTCAACAGGTCAGCGATCATATACTCACCGCGAAGATGCGCTATCACCATATAACCACGGTCCACCAGAGACCTGACACCGGCTGCTCGAATTCTCAGGTGTCTTGTCCTCCAGCTTCCAGCAGGATATTGAATGATCGAGCACGTTGAAACCGAATCTGTATACAGCACTTTTTGCAGCGATTCTTCACCTGTTCCAACCAAAGCGGCAATTATAGGGGTGCACGACTGAATCATCGTTGCTCCCTCTATAGACGCATGCAATTCAGCTTCAGCTGTATTTAAAGTCACCGTTGATTGTCTTTGTGTTGAATTATGACTGGACAGTCACCCCACACCACCACCGCTCCTGAGTGGCTCTTTTCGTTTTCACCTGCTGCAAAGCTGGCATCCGCGTAGGACTCCACCACTTTAACGCCTCGTCCATAGCGCAACACCTCATTTCTTTCTTTTTCGCATGTTGCGATTGCTCCGAACGTCAAGCCTAACGTTGGAGTTGCAGCAAGGTATCGGAAAACTTCCTCAGCCTTTTTAACCACAAATCGCGGCCTTCGGGATGTCCACAAAGACAACTGGCTCGTGCAGAACGCCAAATCAGGTCGAGTTTTGATTGCCACCCAGAGGAACTCCCCTACGGCACCTTGAGCCGCTCGCAAGGAAGGAATATCCACCTCCTCTTCTTCACCTGGAGTTTCTTTCACCATTGGCAGGTTACTCCCTTTTCCAGTTTCATCGATCTGATACCCTCGTCGGTTCAGCAAATCTCTCACAAAGTCCTCCTGGTTGAGAAAGAAGCTGCCATTTCGATACCAGATTTGGACACCTAAAAACTTCAGGAATCCATCACCGCAGCCTGGACCACAGAACTCGGGTTCAGAAGTTTTCCACTCCTTCCTAATCTGTTCCAAGGCCTCCCGGAGCACTGTCATAGTCCCAGCCATCAAAAAATCATCCACGTAAAGACCCATTGTCCCTACCAACTTGCTTGCACCTTCCGGCTTCTCTTGCGCCATAATAAGGAACAGACTTGGGTCTGCGTTGGACCTCTGAAAGCTCATTGCTTGTCCATCCTTTGACACCCAAGACATACCTTGAAGACGTTGGTCTCGCCACTCCACCCATGCTGCAGGACTTTCGGCCAAACCATACAAGGCCTTCCTCACAATCCACCGCTCCTCTTTTGTGCAAAGACCCAATTTCACCGCCGCCCTTGGGGGCTGCACCACCACCAAACGCCCTTCTCTTTGCGCCCTATTCATCGGCGCCGTCAGAAAAGCTTTGGAAATGTCTAAGCCAGCGATGATCCACACCATATATGCTGCGTGCCTCACTTGACACCTGAATGTAGTTGAATCTAAACCTGGAGCGTACAGCGAGTGACGACTGAGTGACCTCGGCCCTTCATATTCTGTAGCTGCCGTTGACGAAATGAAGTTTCCACATGCACAGATACGGGCACGTCGCCTCCCTGTCCCTTGCTTCCGGGTAAACACCACCAGACTGGGAACGTACTCAATCACCGGTGCATTAGGCTCTTCCGCCAATTTGTCCAGCTTTTCTTGAGTTGTTGGTTCCACCACCTCCAACTCTTTCACCAAAGACGTCACCTCGTCCGACAATGATTCCCTCCACTTTTCCAGCTCTTGCATGGCTTCTTGTGTAGGAATTGTTTTTGTTTGCAGGAACTCAACCTCCTCCGCTGCCTCAAGCGCGGTATTTTCTTGTACCATTTGCTGAACTTGAGCTGCTTTGACCAAAAACTTCGATAGCTGTTCCTCAGCCCTTTTTGCTTTAACCAGCCATTCTCTAGTCTCTGATCCTTTTTCTTCACTCGACTCATTGGCCGATCCATGGAACTCGTCCAAGATGCAACATTCCTGTTCAGCAATTAGGCGTCGAATACTCAAATGCTCTTCTAGAGCCCATTGATGCGCTTCGAACACAGCGTAGTCGACTTCCTCGGCAAGGTCGTCCAGCGAGGTTTCTTTCAACGTCATTTTTAACCACTTCCTTTTTCCACCTTCTTCAGCCTGTGGTTCCGGAAGAGGAAACTTGCATTGGAGAAGATAGCACCTATCCTTGTAGCCCAAACGCTCCATAAAAACAGGCGTGTACCCTGTCAAGGATACCCTGTTTCCTTTCCAAGGCATAGGGCCATGCAGCTTTCTCGGAAAGAACGACATGAAGTTCCACTGGATATCCACCAATTTTCCAGGTAGGACTTTCTTCCCATAGGATTGCTCCACCACTTCAGCTCCTTCCTCTAAAACCTTTTCATCCTCAACCCACAGCTGACCATCTTTATAGTCACCAAAGCCACACACATAATTGCAGCAATGTTTTTCATTGTGACTATCCCTATGCAATGACACCGGAGCATTGCACGAGATTTGAAGAGCAGAAAATTTGGCTTCAGGATTGTGGTGCCTCACGAATGATGCCAAATAACGACATAGCCATGGTCTTCGATGAGTCTCCTTTGTAATACCACACACTCCGCCATGAGTATAGTGGCCCAACACCAGAGCTCGCGTACTTGTACACCAATTGTTGATACCACCTCTTCGATTCACCCTCTTTGGGTATACAATCCCTTCCAAAAGCTCCTCACAGTCCACGTAATCATACATAGACCTTTCATACATTGACTTGGCTTTTTGCTCTTCTTTTTCCAACTGTGTTCCATCCTCAGCAGTCCCACTTTTGCAGACCAAATAAGCATTTTCATGAGGAGAACAGCAAGTCGGCCAATACTCATCACCAGGAACATTGTCCTCAACATCTGCATTTTCTTCCAGCTCCCCCAGACCCTGCATGTCATCCTCAAAA